AAGAGTGGAGGCAGTATGAGATGCCAAATCATAAAATGCTGATGTTTGACCTTTTTTAGGATTGTGTGTTGAAACTAAACAGATATGCTAAGAAGAGAAGGTCTTAAACCATGACATTTAGATTTTGCTTCAAGTCTCTTTCTCTTGGTATTTGTGTATCCTAGATCACACGCGTTTCTAAAGTTAAGTGAAGGGAACTTGGTGTTTATCAGAAGCTGCAAAATCAAAATCTTTAAGTACAACACAGCCACACTGTTTATGTCACTTCCAATTAAAATATTCAAATAGTTTAAAAAACAAAATTCAAAGAGCTTATTCCAGCCAATTTATCAACTACTTCATTCTACCATGCCTCACTGGCACAGCAGACTGCAGCTTAAATTTTAAGCCAACTCTCTCAGGACACATTTTTTAAAGTTCTGGATGATCTTTAAATAGCTCTTTGTCTAACTAGCAGTTTGGACAGTACAGCTTTGTTACAGATGCTGAGATCAGTGCTGCAGGATGTTATCTGATTAGATCAAAACGTAACTTGCCAGGAAGACACCTCTGGAACCTGATAATGCAGCTCTTCTCCACTTCTACCCCAGAGTAAACGCCTGAACTGGCATACCCATATTAAGCCAAGCAGCAGCACTGAGTAAAACAATTGCCCTGCATTCTCTGCAAGTTAGATCTCATCACCGGAGAGACGGTTTATTGCAGCATACTTTACTGCATACCACATTAGCTTTACTTCCAAGTTTCCAACATGCTGCAATAGTGCCCGTCCTGCCTAGACAGAGTTTGACACTTCTGGAACAGTATAATTTTTTTTCTTCTTGTGCCTAGCTGTTAAATCAAATTGACAGAGCATAGGGCCTACCAGTTACCTCACTTAAACTTCAGTACAATTGTGGTGATGTACTGCTTTATTTCAATCATGTCATAATGCTCTGAAGCAGGAACTCAATTGTTCTGGACAAAAAAGGCTCAGAAGAGAAATGAAAGGCAGGCAGGAGAAGGGAGGTTTAGAGTAACTCACCGATGTGATAAACCTGTACAAAGGCTGTCGTCTCTCTGTGTATTTCACTGTGATGGGGCTCAAATCGTATCGAAACCAGATAGCTGGGATAATGCGGCCAGTGTGACTGTAGGCTACATACTCCTAGAAAAGGAAGTGGGAGAAAAATGGCAGAAAACATGAGCAATCTCACTCCAGATAGAGTTCCTGCAATAAAACTGCTTCTGTGGATCTGGCCCTTACTCCACTGTTTTGTACTAATGATCAGACTGAAAGAAGCAAATAGTTAATTCCTGTAGGACTGCCTACCTCCCATCCTTATCAAATAGGAAATAAGTTATTTACAGTCTGGAAAAAGAGAGTGATGGTGCTTACTCTCACCTTCGTTCAAAGTTACAGAAGCAAACAGAAGGGCTGTCATTGATTTCTCTAGCTTAGATCCGCTCTATTTAAATACAAGCTGTCTCTAAGTGGTTGCATGCGAAGCTTTTGTCCTGTCAATGTGTAAATTGTACACTGGGATATTCATCGAGCAAACAGAATTTAGTTTGCAAGAACCTAAAAATCCCTTCTTGTCCATGCGCTCGGAACAGCAAGCAGCAGCTCCCGCCTGTAAGGCTCCCTTCGCGTTGGGACCAACAACGTGAATGTTTTGCCCACTCAGTATGAATCACGCAGAGCCGTGTTTAAATCGTGTTTAAAAATCATGCTGAAAGCCAAAATGAAACGGTACACAGAAAAGTATTGGCAAAGGTTCAAAAAATATTCCAAGCTGGTGTGGGAGAGACATCTTCAGATTGCCAGTGACAACCCCCTTTAATCCATTTCTGGCGGTGACTGCACAGCACAGTGCAATCAATCAGCCACAGGACAACACCCCAACAAGACATACTGCACCATGCCAGTGTAGAGCAGATACTAACACCAACTTAGTATCAAAAGCCACATCTTTTTGACCTAATATTTTGTCTGAGCTCTCAGTGGAAATACATATCAATTTTCAAGGATCAGGACATTTATCTTGACAGAATGAAGAAAAATCAAAGAAAGGCAGGCTGGGGACTCAGTAACCCAATGAGAGCCACCAGCAGCAACGTGGCACGTACTGCCTTCTTACCCAGCTGCTCTTTGATTCTTTGGCCCGATGACATGCCTGCCAACTCAGATGACCTTTTCAGTTTCAATTCTCCTTCATACCGAGGTAAAGACAATCTCCAATACTTCAGAAAGTTGAAGAAAGGACAAGCAATAGGACACCCATGAGCATGATACAAAAAGATAATTTTAATCTCTGTGAGCTCAGAGGGAGCTAGTGAAACAGCACCTATTTCCTTCATTAATCTCATATAAATCCCAAATTTCCCTCTATTTAGTTTTTTATTCCATGGATGACAAAAGAAGCAGAACGTGGCTGAAGTCGCTAGTCATAATATTTCCAGGGCTCTTATTGTAGAAGTTCTGCAGCATGTCTTGGTACAGGGGCTATGCAGGGAAGTGAGGAAACAGAGGGCCTAGGAGGCAAAAGGGTAGATGAGACAGCCCACACTCTATTCACCTCTACATACTTCATCTGTGCCAGACTATTCCAATGACTTCTGATTTCTGTTTCCCACTGACCGGTATGGGAGTCAAGGACTAAAGCACTGATAAGAGAATTTTTATTTTTAATGTGAAGAAAACGCAGAGGCAGCACTGTTTCTCTGCACTTCAATTTTGACAGAACTGACCTCATTTCTTCCTTCCTCTCCTCTTTTCCCCACCAGCAATCCTGCCCTAATGAGTCAGTCTTGGCTGAACACCTCAATTTGCAACCAAGCTCACAGAAGTGTCAAAAGCTCCTGCTATTTTCCAAATTACTTTCAGAACTTACGTCGCAAGAGTCTTATCAGAACAACAGTTGTGACATTAAGCAGAACAAATACACTGTAATCTGCATAGTGAGAGACATCCAAATGATTGGGACACACCGTACAAGCAAGCCCAAAAGTCACTGGACAGGAACGTTAATCTGAGAACTAGTCCGTAAGAGTGCGTGCTCGATTCTCAGTTACGGCAAGCTAGCAGTAATCAGATATTATAAACAGATTCTAGACTTTCATTTAGCACCTGACTGGCAAATCATTTTAAACTGAAAGAGGCTTTTTACCTTATAAAGTAAATAGAGTATTTTTCCTTTTTTTTTTTAAAGTTCAATACATCGTATTATTAAAATACAAATATCTTCACATTTAATGTAAATTAATTTAAGAATTCTAAAGTTACAATAACTATCATAATCCACAACAATAAAATAGGCACTGTGAAATAGTCAACCGGCACATATTTACTGCTGCAGGTTCAGTGGCTTAATATCTGAAATTAACATTTGAAAAAGCCTAAAAACTCTGCTAACTTACTTGTCTGATACATCCATCACAACTGAGACTGTTCTATTAATAAAACAGTAAGTGTTGTTTTCTGTGTTCAGCTGGATTGCGGTTTCCACCCAGATGCATCTTGACACGAATCCCCTGAGCTCCTGCACCACGTAAAAACCTTCCACACAATTTATAGAAACCCAGATCAGCTAAATCGACATCTGAGAAAGTCAGGAGTAAGAATATCTTTCTCTAGAGTTAAAACAATACCAGCACCTGCTCTGACAAGCCCTCACAATCCCAACCCTGGTGAACACCAGCACCAGGAGCAACAGAAAGCCCCACGCTGAAGAGCTTCAGTTCCTCCTTCTCCCAGCAGAGGCTACTGCTCACCTACGAACAAACGTATGTGGCTGGACAGCAGAGGAACAAGAGGGAGGAAGAACAGTGACTGAAGATTCCCCGTGCATCCACTGGGCTGCAATGAGGAGCTTCTCTGAGAACTATCTGCTTCTTTACCTTATTTGCTACAGTATATTGGTATGAGTATCGCTGCTTGCCGCTCATGTCTTCGTACACCGTCGGGACTATCTTCAGTATGTAATCATGAGATGCAAGAGCTGTGGACAGGAAAGGAAAGTACACGTTAGCATTCAGGGAAGGAATCACAGCCTACACAACATTTCAAAGTCAACGTGCAAAATCAACTAAACCAAGTAAGTCACAGCAAAGGTGTCTCCCTCCTCCTTATCTCAGGTTCTGTGACGAAGTGACAATTTCACATCCTACATTTATGTCCTTTGTATGAAAGGTAGTTGGATGACACCAGAACCTGTCCACGTAGTACCACAACCCATGGAGATGAGTTTGGGTCACTTGAAGCTTCCTAACTACTTGCAACTAGAAATGATAAGACTTATCAGCACCATAAAAAGCTCTCCTGGTTAAATAAAGAACTAGCTAAGGACAGAGCTGCAGCTCACTGAGTTTCTTTTGACAGAAAAAGCTGAAGCATCACAAACTGTGTAGTCTCATTTCTTGTGCACCCATTTTTCTTTCTCTTCTTCCTTCTACAGCTGCTTAAGAGTTATTTTTTTTTTTTTTACATTATTTAAATGGCTTGTGCCATTTTTTGTGTCTGCTGAAACAGTCCTAAAACAGAATTCTAAATGACTTCTCTGCAGGATCCTTTGGCCAAGTGTAACACAATGACATTTGGCTCCTGAAGGAAAAAAAAAACCACAAAAAAAATCCCTAAAAACAACAAACCTAACACAATTGTCTAGCTTCAGGAACAGCTATAGAAATTTTGTTCCGAGAAGCAGACAAGACTGATATCCTGTAGGATTCTGAACACTTGAAGGAGAAAAAATACACTGAATTGTAGCATGCATTGGAAACTTCTTTTTGTGTTGCTGGTCATAAAGAAGGGCAATGAAAATGTCCATCCTTCCAGTCACAGGGTAGAACTTAAGGTAAGAGCTAACTTGCAACACAAGAACAAGAAAAAGTTCTGGTGGTGGTGACAGCAGCAAAGGGAAGCTATAGGAATAGAACATGGATAAAAACCTCAATAATTCTGAGTTGGTCATAACAGACCGGAGACAATGTCCAGGTTGCAGAAGGGCTGCAAAGGACCTTTTGCACTAAGCCGTCTCTACGGTACTAGAGAAAATTGAAACGGCCATCAGCAATGTCTGGATCATTTTGGTTAAAGAGGCAAATTAAAGACTTCTGGATACAACAGTGTTGCACAAATGGCCCTGTTTTCCCTCCTGCAGAGAGTGGCTAAGACCCGTAACCACCAAGAATACATACGATTTGAGCTGAGTTTATCTGCTCCCTCCAAGGCATTGAATGCTCCATGAACATTATGGACCTGGAAAGCAAAAAAGCGTATGAAGAAACTGTGCTCTGACTTGGTACTCTTGAACTTTGCTTCCCTATCGTATCGTGTAACGAAGAGATCAGCCTGATTCAACCTTTCTGAAAACAAAGCCTCAACCCAGTAAAAGATGACTTGAAATATCTTTCAGTGACCATCACCAGAGACGTTGGTTCCAAGTAAAAAAGTTGATTTCACAATGTCTTACAAGATGAAACTCCAAAACCACTCCAAAGCTAAAGGAATTGCAGTTGGAAGAGGTCAGTTGTGAAATTTCATTGTGAGATATTTCCTAAGAGCTTTGCATAGTTAACTGTGAAATTCATTTATCAGGATGAAAGGGAAACAAATGACAGTCATATTCAGATTAAAATTCAAGAGTTCTCCTCTAAAGGCAGCTCATTTCAGAGCAGTTGGGCTTGTACAGCTTTAACTTATTAGCCCAGCTTTCACATCACGCACACTGTGCCCTTGGAGATGGGAAGGACACATGCCAACACTGCCATCCATTCAGCTTTTCCTGCAGCTGGTCCCAGGCATGCAAATATCTGTTTGCCCAGAATAACAGGATTTCCATCCCATGCCTTCCACATACTATGATCTGCAGTCTGATGTCCACCAACAGAATAATCAATTTGCAAACTCTCTAGGCAGGGAAAATTGCACAGCGACAGCTGGAGATTACAGGTTGCATCTTTCACATAATGTACAGTAAGCTATACAGAAAGGACAAGGGGGCCTACAGGAAAGATGGGGAGAGGCTGTTCAGGAGGGCCAGTTGTGATAGGACAAGGGGTAATGGTTTTAAAATAGAGGGAGGTAGATTCAGATTGGATATTAGGAAAAAATTTTTTACCATGAGGGTTGTAGAACACTGGAACAGGTTGCCCAGAAAGGTGGTGGGTGCTCCATCCCTGGAGACGTTCAAGGCCAGGTTGGACGAGGCCCTGAGCAACCTGATCTAGTTGGAGATATCCCTGTTCCTTGCAGGGGGGTTGGACTAGATGACCTTTGAAGGTCCCTTCCAGCCCTAACCATTCTATGATTCTATGACAAATAACTCCACAACCTAGAAATTCCTGATCTTAAGCCAGACAACAGGGAAGAAGACTTTGAAAGAAGTATTTGGTCATGAGTGTGACGGTTTCACCTCACTAACGGGGCACTGCAATCTCCTTCCCAGACCTTCTCAACTACTGATAGCACATGGATGTGTATGTCTCATCCTAATGGCTGTTTCCCTATTCTGAATGCTATGGAGTGGATGATGGTTTGGAGGAAGCATCAACCAAACCTGTTTTTCTCCTGAGAATGGAAATTCTAGAGAGACAAAATCATCAGCAAGTTCAGCTGGCAAGGTGCTGGGGACAAGCACAGAGCAAAAGCAACAGCTGAACCTTCTACAGTGCCTTTCCATCTGCTGGCATTTCAAATATTTTACACGACAGCAACCATTTCCGAACTACACACGCAGGCTGTGCATATTCTTTACTCATAGTAAAAAACGTATGAAGAAAGAGAAGCCCCTGGATTGGCCTACAGTATTTATGTTCCTTTCTTGATACAGCTGAGAAGTCAGTCTCTTATAGCATATCTGGGCCAGAGACTTTAAGGTCCACTTCAGACACTGGTAACAGTAAATATTTGAGTGGTTGCTCAGCAAACAACTGTATCTGTTCTGTGAAGTATCTGTATATTTGGATTTACGTTCGTGTCCTTGGCTCCCCCGCATCCACACTTCTGTTTACATGTAAAAGTTCTCTGCTCTGCATCAATCTACACAGCAAGTTTGCAAAGCTGCGAGTTACAGGGCTTCCACACAGACAGTCACCAGACAACTCCACAACTGCCTGTTTCTGTGCCATCAGGTCCTTTGCTGCATCTGCCTCTCTTGTCTTTGCAACACAGATGGCATTTCTAACTCCCAGTCTGATGTTTTACCATGACATTTCTTGTGGAATATTCTGGACTCCCACTACCATACTTGCTGTCATGGCTAATTAATCCCTGCTCTTCAAAGTGCACAGGTGCATTCCTTGGGGGAACATACTTGTTTGTACCTTGTTAAGTACCTGGAGGGACTTCAACAAGCAGTAAGCTTTTGGCCACAGCAACAAAATGGCTTTGCAACAGAGAACTTAAACAAGTTCGTTTAGCCAGACATTCTCAGGACTGCGCTGCACTACCAAGGCTAACCTAGTGCTTGGAGTAGTGGCACAGGAGGCTAGCCAGTGGTTTAACAGTGCCAACACTTTACTTCCCTGCAACATGGACCTCAAAAAGATGCCTGCCAGGGCCTTGAACACCCTACGGTTTAACCTCTACAAACACATGCAAAGACATGTAACCGGACACACAACTCAGGCAGAGTCCAATGGCAGGCTAAAATAACTTCCAACCTTGCAACTATCAAGGGAAGACAAGACCTCTCACAAAGGTTAAAACTAGGATTATTCAACACCATGACCTAGCACTCAACAGAATTCTGTGATTAAAAACATATAATCTCCTACTTTCCACATCTCTCTCTTTACTAGGTTACCTGACATGCAAGAACCCCATTGGTTTGAATTTCGGTCTCATCTACGTAAGGGAAGAAGCTACAAAAAGTCTGCCACTAGTGTACTGGAACTACTGTTGAAGAATTGAAGCTCATTCAATGCCAGATGAGATTTGAGTCTCTATTTCAAACAGACTGGTATTTATGGAGAACACAGCATGTACCTTAGTGGACCATTCTGGCCAACCTGGTAACAGCCTCCAAAGAATTAACTCCCAGCACATGACACAAGCGAATGAGAAGCTCCTGACCCCCTTTAAGACATGAGCATATATTACATCAAAGCAGGTGAAGACAACCTAAAATATTCAAAGGTGTATCTAGACAGATATAAAGCTCTCTGTACTTGCTGGCTCTCTACACTGCTTGCTGAGTCCTGGTAGCACTTGTTTAGTGAACATACCCTTCTTTAATTTGTGCTGTTGAACTAATGTTTGCCTACAGAATCAGCAGCACCTACACGCTCCATTCTTGTGTATGGAGATGATGAGTAGTTATTTTGAGCTTTGAAAGTACTAATCAGAACTTGTCCAAATCGGGAGCCAACTACATGTTTGCTAGACAGGTTTCTCACCACCAGAACTGAAGACACTTGCTTCTCTGCCCCCAACTGTCCAGGCTTCTCATCTCACTCATGCTGATTTGCACTCCGCTCCATTACTCAAAGACTCCATGATAAAACAATGCGAACACTACCTTACAGCACTGATTTCCCACGCAAACTCCAGAACTCCCTATTACCACTTACCTAATATTTTTCATAATCTCAGTGTGCTTTACAGACATTAAGCCAAGCTTATTTATATGCTAATATTTCAGCGTTCCCACACAAGATATTTCCTAAAAGAAGCCGGGAGCAGAGTCAGGAGACTACAAAGCAACGCTTAGGCTTGTTAGCATGAAAAAGGATTTTGGAAGTGGGTGTACAAGAAGCAGACTAATGAGACGTCTGTGCTGAGGAAAGAAGATTACAGAGAGACTATGGGTAAGCAATGTTTAGGGTGAGTCTCAAACTGGGTGTGCACATATATAACTCCCACCTGTGATGCTAGCTAGCTCCTTGGAAGTAGGCTAGAGAAGTGCTGTAATCTGACCTTATTGAGAAATCAAGAATCATTACATAACTTGCAACACCTGGTGAAACTCTATCCACAGGGCAAGTGCACACATTCAGCTTCTTCCCAGCAGGCAACTGGCAGTTCCAAGTCTAACTTGTGTTTCATAGAGCAAATTTGACTAATAGGTGTCTGCTATACAAGTACAGTGAAGTGAACTAAAAAAAACTTGACTGGTGTCATGGAAAAGACAGTAGTGAGCACACATCTTGCCTTAGAATCCTCACTGCTCCTTTGCAAAGGCAGCCAAGATTTATTTGCTGTATTAATACTGAAAACAGTACTGCATGGGCTTTTGCAAAGCCATGAATTCTCATTTCTACTCCCTGCAGGAAGATAGCCATACAGTTTTCCAAAAGCACTTTCAGTTTCAGATGAAAACAGCAAAGTACTGAATGACTGAACACTGCTCCTTCCTGAAATGGTGTCATGTAAGCAGTTTACAAACTCCTCTGGACTGAGCACGCATTTTAAGCACACAAGGGATGGGCTTGCTTACCCAGGCAGTCCTTTCTTATGTCCTCCTCACATTGTATACGGCCCTTCCATAAAACCAAAGCGTCTAATATTAAAGTCACTCTCATTGCATTCATTCCCCTAGAGACAGGGAATTTTCAGGGAAGAGAACTCACCTGTAACTTGTCCCCAAATGAGAGCTTGTGGATGACATGAGTCATGTCAGGATTCTGAGGCTGCGCAGTGGCACTGTGCGTTGACACGTGAAAGTTACCAGGGACCTAAAATTAGTCAAGACAAGGAAGACAGGATTTCACATTTTATCCCTCAAGGCATTGCTAGGCTCTGTGATATGAAGTGGAAACACCTGGATCCATCCAGCCTGGCAGGCTGTATCTACTTAGCAGTGGACAACCTCTAGCATATCAGAGAAAGGCTCTGAAATACCTTCCTGCACTTGACGAACACCACCATACTGTATATGGAGCAGACATCGGTTACATCCCACAGCCCAAGAGTCTGGCACCCTCACACTGCTACTGCTGCTGACTAGGAGGTGATGAGTGGACCACTCCCAACTTTAGGGATTCCTAACACTTAAGGCTATGTCTTTCATCCCCATGAAAATCAGATTCGTGTCTCTTACGGGCAACAAACAGTTGCTTAACATTTTACTCCCACAACTTGCATTTGTAAATAGGCCCACTGCTGCAGAACAACCCAAGAAAGCTGTGGATACATTCTTATTGTAGTACCAGTCATGAGTAACCTAACTTTTGAGAAGATTGTGTGTAAGAACAAGTTTTACATAAAAAGAGAAAAACCTCATCTAATACTATGGGGCTTCCTATACAAACTAAGCTAGATCTTCAGCTTCCAGCTCTGGCAATAGCCCTTCCAAGTACAGGATTTTCTGGTTTTAATGTTTTAAATGGAGGGAAATAGGAAGTTCTGGAAAATACAGATTTCAACGAAGGACTCAGTTCCAAGACAAAAAATGAGCACTGGTGTCATTCTGATGGGATCACTCTAGCATGCACGCACTTTTCAGGTCACTAGTCCTACTCTGGGAAGCCTTTCAGCAATTTGAGCTCAATCACTGTTATAGAGGCTGAAAGAATTTTTTCCGAGCAAGAAAAGGTTGGGAAATTAAGCAGTCTTGATGTGCAAACCCTTTGGCAACACTGAGGAGGAATCTGACACGGCCTAAGAGTGGGAGGATGGTTATACAACTGGTGCCCATTGTGCTCTCTGCAGACACCTCACCAGCAGGGCCATGGGAGGCCACATGCTGCTTCCATGTGCTTTCAGGAAAGCTAATTTAAATGACTTGAGGAACAGCAGTGCACTCCTGCGAACACTTTCAGGTGTGGACACAAGCTGTGTCATACACAAGCTCGGTAAACAGGGTGGCAGACTCTGCAGTAAGAAGTACACACGATCATCTCACTGTTACCTTGTCCTCCCTCTTCAGGTTTGGAAATCACACCCAAGTGCAACCCTTGGTCAAGTTTCAAAGCCTGGTCATGTCCCACTCCAGATCCCAGCTCATTCAGAAGCCTGGACAATTTCTGCCAAGAGACTGAAGACTTCCAGTTCGCACACGAGAGGTTCGAGTTCTCAGAGCCAGAACTCCTGGGTCAGGTCCCCTACCTCTGACAGCAGCCTCAACCACCATGAGACAATGCAATTAGTGGCCTTTCACAGATGAAGCAGTGAAGGGAGCTCCTCACCGTCACATACAGCAACGTCTTTTGGAGTTGCTTTGGTGAGCAGAACACACCACATCTAGCAGATGAAATCCCAAGTATTTCTGCTCCGTGCTTTGGGAATTAACAGAACAAGAACTACCTTTCAAGAAGCCCCTTCCCACTTTCGCAGACTATCAGCTGCCAGTAATCTTGGTGGCTTAGAGGCGAACGAAAGAAACGTCCTCTTTTTAAGTCTCTAATCCTTTCCATGCCACAGAATCAGTAAGAGGTTCTGCCTGTTATTTTTAGATGCGATTTAACATGACCTGGGAGGAAAAGAAGGAAGTAGGATTTTGTAGCCTGTGGTACATGAGGAGGAGTGAATAAAGGGTGTGCCCTTCTTAGGACATCAGTGGGCCCCACCACTGCCTCCCCCACCCCAGCTAGTCATCTCCAGCATTACATAGCAAGATTATTCAATTCTGAACACACCCATCCCAGAGAGGAGCGTCCTCCAGGCCTGGATTTTCATTCTTTGAGACAGAAGCGGAGCATCCCAACAAAGCATGCGCAGAGGCCTCGTGCATGTATTCCAGACATCTCAGCACAGAGCCGCTTCTGTTATGCTGGCACCCTCTAGTAGGGAACATTCCTGTCATTCTGCGGCTCTCGGAACAAAAGAGCACTTAGATAGAGATGTTGCCAAAGACCTCTGCACAGTGAGTCACATTTTGGAGGCACAAAAGTCATGACAAGTAAACATAGAAGCTGTTCGGCATTTGTAGGGAGTTCATGCATCCCCTAAACATTAGGTTGCTGCACTGAGACAGCACTGGCCGCAACACAGAGCTGCTCGCTGCTGTTAAGCAATGTTATCTCAGTTACCTGAATCAGAGAACGGAGAAAAACCCTGATCTAACTCATTCTAGGTGGGTCTAACTAAGCAGCCACCTCTGCCCACATTGTTCTGCAGTGCTGCGAGACTTAACCTTACCACAAATTAGGGATATGAACGTACACTCTACACTGACACACAGATTTTCATGAGCATTTTACAAATGGATCTTGCTAGCACCTCCCCAGCCAGCACACACTGTCATTCCTACTCACCTTGTTGATGCTGAAATGGCCCTCGAACCTGCAGCCATCCCCATTATTGAGAGGTATTTTCATCGAGTTGTCGATATGACCCACTTCGTGCCTTCCCATTTCATCTTGGATGTCTAGTCCAACTACTGCATTGGTGGGAGGGGAGGAGACAAAAATGAAAACAAAAGAAATAACAGGAAGGTTGCAAAGGAGAAGCACACACTGCTGTTACTGGAAAAAAATCCACATCTTTTTTCCTGACATTTGACTAAACTGTGCTAGTAACATCATTTGTCAAATATTAATTGTTATGTCACCTCTTCAGAAAAAGCTTTGTAACCAAACTTTTCAGATGGCCTATTTGACACAAATATACATCCCATACCCTCCCAGCTGACTGCAATCTCAATTACACAAACAGAAAAACTTCAGGTGGACAAGGCAGGTGATTTGTGGAAAGCCAACAACTGCCTGGTGCATTCAGAGTTATGAATGAAACTTGGGAGGTTTCTCATTCCCAGAGACAAAAAGGTTGCTATGAGAAAAGGAAACAAGATTTAGAAAGAAGGCAGCCACTAACACGGGCTGTGGAGCGAGCACAGGGTCCAAGGAAACAGGTGTCTTGGCTGGGAACAGAAAGCAGTGGGGTACTGGCAAAGGCTGCAGCTACTTGATCTCCATCCAGCCTATTACAGAAGGAGGGCCGCTGTACCAGATTGAGCCCATTTCAAGTCTTACTTAAAATACAAAGAAAAACTGATAATTGAAAAGAGCTACTTACATTCACAATGCAGGTTTGGCAAACTGATGTTCAGATTCACTTCTATTTTACCTCCACTGTCTTTGTCTGGGTCATCCACATAGAGCTCATTAACTCTGGAGGACAGAAAACACAAGTGGGTTCAGGCACATAGCTACTTTCCACAGGAAAAAAACAACTTGCATGGGAAGGGAAAAAAAAAAAATTTGAAGCAGGGGGTTTGACTGTGTGACAATGGAACTGAGTTACCAAGACAGAGAGCAGGAAAAGCCCTCCACAACTGCACGGGGGCAAATCATGATTTAATTTTACTTCTTGCCCGGTAAGTGCAGGAGGCTTTAAACAAGTCCCTTGTATTGGCAGAAAACAAAACTCCTGCTCTGATTTATGCTTCCTGCCCCCTTCCCTAACCTGAGTTTCCAGAGGGGATACAAAACAAGAACCTAATGTTGAAGAGGTGGCAGGCTCCTCATACCTGGGCTATTACTCCTTTAAGGAAAGAGGGAGGCATATGCTTTTCAATTTGTTTCATAAATAGTTTTAGAGAAAGGCTGCTCTCAACCATCCCATAGGAAAGCTTATTTGTCTAACTAATTGCCATTTGTTATTGCCACCCAGTTGACAGAGCAGCGGCAAGAGAAGGCAGCATGGCATACTTGTATCTCCCTCCTTAATATCTCATTTCAATCTATGAATGGTAACCGAAAGCAATGACTAAAATTGAGGAGAAGAGGCTTTGAGCCAGGAACAGATGGGAAGAAACATTCTGGACAGCAGGATCTAACACACTACGCAACAGTCTCTCAAAGAGTAATGTTGTTTCATAGCTCCCACAGTGCTGGCACATATTTCACAAAGACAAAATACAGATACAGAGTAAAAGGAATATAAGAGTATAAATATTTATTGTTGGCACATACAATCCATCTGACATGTAAAATATAAACCAAAAAAAACTCAACTGAAGCACAGACGAATTACCTGAATGGTCCTACAGAATCCACTCCAGGGAAACCCACCATACTGATCCAAGAAGATGGTGAGATTACCTAGCAGCTCTTTGTCCCTTAAAGTCCAACACTGCTCAGCCTCACCAAATAAGATTTGACAATTTATCTTCCAGTTGGACAGATCATAAAGCTATGGGAACTTATGTTCAAGCTACATAAAATAAACTACCTTCCCTAGTAAGTGCTCTGTTTTATTTTTATTTAATGCTCAAAGTATGTGAAACCCTTTGACAAGCCCTTGCTGAAGAGTCTACATGTTAATAGACGGACAAGACTAAGGGCAGCTACAAGACAGATTCCAAGTGATTTTGCTCTGGTGATACATCTCTGGACCATAACGAACTGTTTGCCCTGTGGATTCAGAAGAAACAAGCTTTCACACTGAGAAACACATAGCTGCCATTTTTTTTGGAGGTAATTACTCACAGGTCAGTGGGGTTTACAGAGACTCATTTAAAACCAGCACAGCATTTGTCTTCAGCTTCGCAGCCCTACCTTTCTCTGTTTTTAATCGGCTTGACAAGTTGCTTGCAATCATTACTCAACGTATTTTTCAAGTGATTAATAAAAATGACACAGAGGGAGGGGAAAGATTGCTCATCAGTGACCTAGTTAGAAGCTTCTTGGCCGAGCCCTCTCCTCCCGGGTGGTATGCATTAAACATGTTTATTACTGGCAGGTTGGGTAGCAATCAGGATTAAGTCATATGTCCAAATACGGTTCTGAGGAGCAGCTCCAGCCAGGACAGGCATCAACCCCCACAGCAATGCACCTTTCTGTGCTTCCCGAGTCCTCCCATCAAGATCCCAGTTGACAGCCAACCTGTTTCATAAGAGCACCTGGCTTCTTCCCAGCTCTCTGCCCGAGATGCGGGCCGTGCCCAGCCAGCGCTGCGGGCAACTCGACGTTACTGGCAAAAAGGAGCATTCGTGCCAGGGCTGGCAGAGAAGCGCAACGGGCTCAGCAGCGCGGCTGAACATCCCAGCTCTTTGGAGGAAAGCTCTAGGAAGGTCAACATTTGTATTCGCTGATTTCCAGTCCTGAACCTGTCAGAAAACGTGTGGTCAGCGGCGGTCTGTAAGCAAAGGTGCACAAGCCTTTCAGCAATAAGTGAGTGAGAAGCCGTTGCTGGTAGAAGTCGAAGGATAAACTGAGCACAGGGAGCCTATGGAAGCTCTTACACAGGCAGGCAAGCAGTGAGGTCACTCAGTTGCAGACGGGATCGCTGCGGCAAGGAGAAGTAGGGCAGTTAGTCCACGTCACACAGCCCATTAGTTGCAGATAAAGGAAACCAGTTTCCTGTCCTGCACTCTGGTCACTGGACCAACAGTTCCCAACCTGTCCTTTAAGCAAAGCTCATGGCCGCTTCCTCCTCCTCTTTACCTAGTAGCCCTCTGTCCCTCTCCTACTCATGTTGCCAATTTCATAACCTTGTCTATCACTCCTTAGACATCTGACAGCTTGTGACTGTCTGTCCTTCCTTCCCCTCCCTCAGTCCTGAGCACCGCCTTTCATGGAGCACGCTGCCTGCTGAAGCCTGCTTCCCCTCCCAGCTCCAGCCACTGCCTCCTGGCAGCATCGGCTCTTGCAGAGGGCCCAAGCTAACAAACCCAGGAAGGTTTCTTATCTGGGGCTCCAAAGCACACTCTTTGTGCTGACCTGCCCTGTTACTGTGGTTCCCTCTCACTACAAGGAACTAAAGGCGCCATGACAACACACTGCAGGCTATGCTTTCTGGGGCAAACCTCAGAAGAAACGTCATCATTTTCAACAAACTGGAAATTTCACTCCCAAAACACATTCTGGAAACCTCACAGGTAAAGCAAACTTCCAGGGTCAAGGTTACTCCTTCCAGGATCTCTTCATGAACCACCACCACCTAAGTCTGGATGGAGCTGGCAGAGCACTGGCACTCACGCCTCCCTTGCTATCCTCCTCCCCAGGGCCAAGAAACCAAACTGCACACAGACCTTCCTATTATTTAATCAAGCAATCCTGGGATGTTGGGAAAAGCACTATTTACCACCTCTAGCAACTCTCCCTGAAGGGATAATGTTTCCAGTGGAAGAAACGAAGGTGACTCTAACTTATTGCTGTCCCTCCTGGAACATAAAGTGTCCCAGGAGTAATAGTGCTTAACTGAATCTGAGACGGTCACAACGGAAATAAAACCTGAGATCAGGCAGAAGGACATTGTAAACGCAGCTGCTTCTACGGCTGTTTAGAGGCAGCGTATAGGGTCGTATTGTGACACCAAAGATGGCACGTACTCCCTCTGAAGATCCTAACCACACAGGAGCCGATATGCTACCAGCTGCTGTTAAGGACGATTTGAATAAAACTGGCACGAAAATCAGGGGTGAGGTGCAGTGCTATGGAAGTACAATGAGGGCCATAGGACAGGTGAGAGGTGGACCTTTCGCCCTGCGGGGCCTCCCACCACTGATTCAAGGAAAGGGAGGAAAGTTTCTCCATATGGCAGGAGCCGTGATCCACACACAAAGAATCTGCTTCACTTCTAGAAAGAGCAACTTCAAAATACTTTGCATTCCTGAGTGGTGCTGCTGGGCTTCTCAGTTGCTTATCCCGTTTGCTTAGAAACTTCCAGCATTACACAGAAAAAGTTGGAGGGACTCTTTGACTAAGATTGCAGATCATTCAAATGGCACGCGAGAGAGAATGAAAGCGGGAAACAGCAGCAAGAAGGCTCAGCATTTCTTTAAGATTTTATCCAAAGAAAGCCAGACTCATTCCCCATGCTTTAGGATTGAGATTTATGACACAACAGCTTTGTTTCCCCAGAAACAAAACTTCCCCAGTAACTCATTCCCATCCAGCAGCCCTGGCCACTAATATTAGACACTTCAGCACTTCAACAGCTGAAGAGCCTGCAGTCCTTTGAATACAAGAGGAGACACACTGCGTCGACCTTTCAGAACTTCACACATTGCCTAGATGCTCTCTAAACACCACATCCTCCTTGTCCTCTGTCCTCCTTGTTCTAGTCTCTGCTTCAAGCTTTAGCCTTTTTTCTCCCTCTTTCACAGCAAACAACCAGGCGCCCTCCTCCCCAGTCATCAGCCATGCAGAAAATACAACCACTTACTCCAGGAAGCTGCATTTTACCTTGTTCTCCAACTCCCAGGAGGCACTCTCTGGTCTCCGGGACCCTAAGCCTAAGAGGGAAAGTAATTATTCTTTCTTGAGGGAGCCCAAAGCTTCTCAAAAGTCCCCAGTGAGCTCTCTTGGCTCTGCTTGCCATTTCAGCTCTAATCAACCAGTTCCAGAAACACAAACCATCCAAAGCTGAGATTCCTGCACTACCATCTTTTCAGTTGTGCCAGACCAGAGAAGATCCAACATAGGACAAATCATTCATCATCTTCTCAATTTGTGCAAAGAAACAACAAGCAGGTCAGCAAATTCTCTACTGTGTAATAAACTGTGCATGTGTCTATTGCTGTGCCATTTGCAATCTTCCTTCTATGCCCTGAATCTCAATCAGTTCTTCACTGAGAAGGTCTTTGCCCCAGATTAGGTCTTGGCTCATCTGTGAAGCACAGAAAACACACTGTCCTACAAAGGAAGGAATTACAGTTCTCCAGGAGGCAGGAAGAAGGAGAAGGGTTCGAAAGACGTCAACGTAGATTTGAGTCAGAAATTGCAAATGACATCATGACACGACCTTCCGCTTCCTGCTAACCCACACATGTACATTAGGACAAACGGCATAACAACACTTCACAAATATATAACACCTTTTATTAGGTAACCTCCAAGTTACTACGCAAACATTAATTAAGCTTCTTAGCACCTCTGAGAGGCAGGCAGCTAAGTATTACATCCTTCTACAGAAAAGCGTCTGTCTCAAGGTCAGTCCACAGCAAGAGCAGGATTATAACTCCCATGACCCTCTGACTACTAGGCTGTATTCCCTATGCTGGTCTAGTTTGCTCCAGCATTTCATCTGCCTCAACTGGAAGAGCTGGTGGAGTTGGAGTTGCATCTCCAGCTTAGTGTCAGAACGTATGAGTTGTAGCACTGTGCTCCCAGTGCAGATGGCTTATGCTCTGAGGTTACGGTGTCCAGTGGAAGGAGCTCTTCTA